CAATTAAACTGGTTAAGTTTACAATAAGTTAATTCGAATATTAACTATTGCTATAGTTAAGTAAAATATATAAAAAAAATTTTCTAGTTAATAGCCATTGATTGTAGTATTATGTGTACTCGTTTTGTATTTACGTGAAACGACTCAATCGAATATAATACAATAATTTATAAAAAGCGTTCGAGCAACTCGAGCCACCGAGGTACACCTACGCCGTACGTGCTGTGCGTATTACACTATTACACACATTACTACGGTAGTACAATAATGTATTAGGTTCTTGTAATATTGTCCACAACTTTTCCATCGAGTCTAATCTATTATAGGAAGCTCAAAACGCTAGCCTGGTTGGATCAAGTAGGAATATTACTAAATATATTATACGGTATACATAGGTGCACGTAAGTATAACTGCAGCGTGMAGTGAATGAAAACTCGCCGGCGGATTGCAGCGTGGACGAAACGACTGTAAACACATAATAATATTATAAACACCACGCGACGGCGTAAGGCCGAGTGATTCGTATATTCTTATTATTTATTATTATGATATACAGTCGTCGTAAGTGCTAGATTGAGAAGAAAATATAAAAAATAATAATCATAAAAATAACGAAATAATCGTCGTGCGTATGATATACAAGTCGTTGGGATAGACTGCTCAGAATAATATTATACCTCAATTATTATTATTATTTTATATTTTATTATTACATATTTATATAGTATATATATATGTGTGCGCGCGTGCGTATACTTACGATCGGGTGCCGGTGGTACTCGTGGTATAAATAATACGGTAAAAGGTGTCAGCGCCTCGGGGGACGTTCGTGCGTGGGCAGATATATACACGCGGTGTATATACAGAGGGATCTATAAAAATATATATATTGCACACACACACACACACACACACATAATACGGATATCTATATACACGCGAACGCCATATTATTATCCTCGACGAAATATTTCCATATTTATACCAAACTCTGCTGCGTAAGTTATATATTATTTTAATATAATGTGTTAACGCACATAAATAATATTTTGCTCCGCGTTTTTGTGACAGTCCGTTATTTTTGTATACAATTGCATAACTTTCGTCAACACATAACTGACCAACCTATCGAGTCTATATAGAACTGCGACGCAACACACATACGATCATGATAGACCTATAAAAAATATATTATTAATAAGTCTATGCATACTACATGTCTACATACCTAATAATCTTCGGGGTGAGCTACCTATTTTTTCCTTCCCATTTTTCTTGAAATTACACCTAATGGACAAGTTAAAAATGTACGGTGTCTGTATTTTGTATATTGACATGTGTCACTATAGTGCAGTTTTAGTAACGGGTAGTGTTATATGCACACCTAATTCCTAACGATTGAGCTTAATGCGAGCATAACATATTATATATATACCTCATACCTATAGTATTATAATGAAAATAAAATATAATTGGTGCAAAGTTTATCAATGTGTATAATGTATACGATTTCATATTATAATATCATCGGTGGTGGATCATATACATTATTATACAGTCGATGCCGTCTGCAGTTACACGCATTTTAAGGTTTCGGTTATC